AGGGTGGGAATAATAAATTAGCACAAGTAGAGGTAAAAGGAAGTGAAAGGAAAAAGGACTCTCTCTTTGGGAAACTGGCCATGCTTCTGAATCTCAGCTTGTATGATTATCTCTCTCTGGTAGATAAATAGCTTCTCAGAAGTCATCGGCCATTGTCCTACCAGGACAGGAATTTTAATGGTAGGTCTTTTGGGTTCTCTGTAGGTTTGACAATCATATTCTTCTTATGTAAAGACTTAATGGTTGGCATATGTTTTCTGTAGTGCCTTACAATATGTTTTCTACCACCAAGTGCTTCTTTATGATTCATAGTTGATACTAGAGAAACATTAGTCTGGGAAGTTCATTGTTGCAATAGATCATGACCCCAGAGATTTATTGCGATGTCTATGACACATGGCCTCAGTATTCCTCTTTCTCCTCCTGGTCCTATACACTCAGGACATCTCATGCCTGATTTTACTTGAGACAAGGTTTCATTCCTTAAAAATTAAATGTTTATTTTTGTAGGGGCCCTCTTGGAGGCCAAGATTTTTGAGTTATGTTGGCTACATCATTTCTACTGTCCAAAAGGCCAACAATCATCTTATTATTCATTCTAACTTCTAGTTTAGGTCCCCCAATATTTTATAGAAGTTTGCCAAAACATACACTTAATTCATTCTCAGTAACTAATTTATCATTCAGTGTAGTCTTAATCTTTACAATAAGCATTGGATCTTCTAATCGTCCTAGGGCAGATTGTGACTGTACCACCTTTGGCATGGTGTACTTCAAGGGGGCCCACAAGGAATCTCCTCATTGTAAAAGTTTACCTTGTTTGTCTGTGGTTGACCTACATTCATTGGTCCATCATCAATCAACCTTTGCCACATCTCCTACATGATTCAAAAGGCTGAGGCTTTATTTTTGAGTCACTCATAGGAGAGCATAATATTTAGGAATGTTTTGCCTATAATTTCTTCATAGATGTACTATTCTAAAACAGTTAAAACATCTGGAATTTCAATGACCTTTTACACCTCTGGAGAATGCTTCTCCTATACAAGCTATTATATTACTACAGGTAAGGCATTAGACATGCAACAAGTTGTTTCTTCTAGCCTGTTAATGCCATCTTGCATAAATCCTAATTTGGTCATTAAATCAGTAGTCATTGAACAAATCCTGTCTTCCAGTTGGCCATCATGATGTTCTAAGTTTCTCACTCTGTTGGTCATTTCTCCATTGTCCTCAATATTTTGAAACATTCTTTATATTTTACCAAGAGTTTGCACAACTTACTTGTCCTTTGCTCAATTACTAAGACCTCTCTTCCAGGATATTATATAGGTTATGAAGCTAATAATTAGATATGGTTATATTTTAGGCATGTCATAAGCCTATCCCTGAATGTCATACATATAGGAAGCAAAAAGATCCTTAACGTTCTGTATTGCAAGATTATACATAATAGGTATAGAGTAGGTAATCTTATTATCACCGGCTTAAATTATAGGAAAGCAAGGTTTATCTTCCATGATTTTCCAGTCTTCATCTGAGGTATTTATTTTTACTTGCAGTAACTAAGGTTGGCCAGCAGATTGGAAGGGTGTACCACCAAATACTGTTTCATGGCAATTGATCATTCTAGACCAAGTAGAATCTGAAAAATTCTGAATAGCTTTTGCAGAAATTTAGCAAGCAGAGTTTTGTTAAGTGGGATTGAATACAAGCCCTGAAATCAGAGGCAGCAGGGCAATAGCCAGCTCTCAGTCACTGCCTGTCTCTGGTGTCTGGAGGTGGAATCTGTCAAGTGGCTGTGCCAGGGAACTGACCGCAGGATGCACATTGCAGGAGCAATGATTTCTGGGTAGGCGGGTGCGTTGTCTCTGAGAATACTTGATGGACACAGGGCAGAAGGCTGGTGACCACCGAGGCAGGACACACATAGGCTGGTTGCAGGTGGTGATGGCAGCTTTCATTACAGCAGCATGGGAGTTGTGCTTGGGGCCTGGAATCAGCAGTGGCTGCAGCAGTAAGCATTCTCCTCACCAGGATCAAATGTGGGGCCTGGGTGAACTTATCTCCCTCTTGATACCAGATATTGAGGAAGATTAATACTCACAGGATAGTGATGTCATATGATATATTATTAGAGAGAAATCACTTACATGATAAGCCAAGAACACAAGGTCAATGCTCAGATGCTCTCTGAGACCCGACCAGAACCGCAACAGAGAGGCTCTTTCTCTGTACAGCCCTTAATCCACAATCCCGTACACACCTGTAGCCTTGCCCAAAATCATTGTGGTCAGCAGCAAGAAGTATATGGATCTCTCCCAACACCAGTGATTGGCATAGTTCGTGAATGTGAATTCAGAGGTAGTAAAGTAGCATTTCAGTGACACTTGAGGCTTCGTCAATCCTCCAACAGATTGAAATTGCCTCACCTCAGGGTGGAAACCTGTAAACAGAGGGAATCCTGATCAAGAAACTGTCACAAATGTGTATTATCTCACTCATGTCTACTAATACACTTAGGATACCTGTTTATCCTCCTTTTAAAAGAAAAACAAAGAGAAACCAGTGCAGACCCAATCCCATGTTTACTGTCATGTTTTAGGTGGTGATCAGTGATTTGGAAGATAGGTCTAGAGTCATCTGCATGACCTGCAGGGTCAGGGCGGGGCTGGTTTTTATGAGCAGAGGGAGGCCATATTTGCATATCTTCCTGCTATATCTTATTCTTTGTTGTGTGAGCCCTTGGGGCAACAGTTAATGGGGCAAATATCTGAGAGACAATGAAGTTGTGAGGACCCCAATTTCATTCAAATGTTATTCATATTGTGTTTGTAATAAAACTTCAGCAGTGTTAATTCATTTTTATTATGCTTTCTGTATAATATTGAATAGGTTTGGAAGTAAAGAGTCCAGGAATCTGTTGTCTTGTCTCTAGAGACATGGTAGTATGTGGTTCCATCTCTCAAATTCCCCTGTGAATGTAGGTCTTCCTTGGTGTCTGTGGGATCAGTACAGATTTAAGAGGACCCTATCAATAGTCACTCCTTATTAGAAGGAGAGTTGGGTCCTAACTTTCCTATGGGGTAATTAAATCTACTGTTAGAGAAACTGTGTTTGTTATGGCTACTATAGTTGTTGAATTGTGACATTACAATTTCTGGGGCATTTCCAGGTAAACTAACATCATTAAAGCAATTAAATGCAATAAGATGGTGATCTGCCATCATTTATGCTTCAGCACTCAAATGATCAAATCATTTCTCCTATGGGATTTATATATATCATGGAGTTGTTATATGTAAGTGAAAGGAGGAAGCTCTGGGTGGATGCAGCAACCACCCTTGCTTTCCCTGCGTGGCTGAGATGCCAGCATCACGTGAATTCTCTTTGCATCAAGTTGATTTTTTCTGGATTTGCTCCTGAACCAAAGTCTAGCTGATGCGTTGGACTCATCCGCATCTATACTGTTGATTTGAACTTCTCCTGCATGTTTCCACTTGAGCTCTATACCCCTGTATACAGTAGATTTTTGCCATGTCGGTGACTTTCTTCTTACAGTAACAGATGGAAAATTCTCTAGGAATGATTATGATAGATGTGTAACGGTGGAATGAAAGCACACACACATGAAAATGAATATGCAGGTCTGGATTGTACTTATGATATCCTTTGGGAGATGAAAGCATTTGAATATTTCAGTTTAATAAACCACAAGAATGACTGTATACAACAAAATGATAGAATTCACTTCATCTATCAGGGAATTGATAAAAGCAAAGCATAAAGGGAATTTTCAGTTGATGTTTTCCCAGCATGATTTCAAGGTCCTAGTGCCCAACAGCTGTTCTATAGAAAATAAAGTATTCTCAGTCAAGATACCTGATGACCCAGGAGTGTGCTTTGTATCCAGTGATAACATGAATGAATGGGGCTCTTGGTGAACTAAGGCCTGACAAATCCTTGGCTAGAAATTTGTTTCCTGAATGTTTGTCTCTCAAGTCCCAAAAAAGCAAATAACTTTTTCAATCCCATCAATTATTTTGTATTTTATTTTTTGCATTTTTAAAAATTTGGACATACAATGTACCTTGATCATAATGTTTCCTCTGTTCCTCCATCCTGGTACATCCTATCTATTATTCTGTCTCATCTGTTCATGATATAGACTCTAAGTTTCTGGGGATGGTGATTCTGGCCTTAAGAAGAAACCATCCCCAGGCCTAGTACCTCATAACAGGTCTTTTGTGCTGAGACTATAAGGACTCTGCATGTATAGGAATGGTGGGAAGAGCAGAAAGCTGAACAATCACATCTTCAATGTAAACACAGACAGTGAGACAATCAGTGTAGGGGTTGATGTCAGAACTTACATGAAGGTCCCCTCTCTGTGCCTCTAGCACATCAATACACAGAAATGTCCTCATATCCCAAGGGATCACTGGACTTAGAAAGGGTTGTTGGAATTGTCTCAGGAGGCAGTGTAGTCTCTTCATTGTCTGGGTAATATTGACTGTTACCATCAGTAACTACTGAGACATACTGTAGCTCCTTCCCTGGAGCTTTGCAGACAGAGATCATCCAGTAGCTGCCAACAACACAGCCTGAGATAAAAACAATCATTCAGGTTACTTAACACTTAAGTCTATGAGAGGTATTTGGTTTAGACACATGTTGTTTCTTTGGATTTTCCTGGTAAAGTTCATATCCTATTTAATCAAAGCTACTCCAATCAAAGTTCCACTCTCTTAGAATCCAGAGATATTTTGTCACTATGCACTATCACAGTTTTCCTCTTTGTCTTTATTACAGAAGGAACATGTAAATGGAGATAGTCACTGGAACTCATTAAGCATCATTTTCTATACAGTTATAACTTTGAAAAACCGACAAAGACAGTTAGGACTGTGAGGAGGAGGAAGAAAAATCTGCACTCAAATGATTGTTTCTGAGCAAGTGTACATGCTGGATTACTGTCATTTCATTCTGAGACCAGCTTCCTAGTCCTCCAAGTTTTCTGACACACTCAGGATGTGGTTGCAACACTGTGTCTGTCTTGCACAGTAATAGATGCCAGAGTCCTCAGATGTCAGGCTGCTGAGCTCCATGTAGGCTGTGTTGGAGGAGGTGTCTCTGGTCATGGAGACCCGTCCCTCAAACTTCTGTGCATAGTATGTGCTTCCACTGCTAGGGTACATCCACCCCATCCACTCCAGGCCCTGACCTGGCCTCTGCTTCAGCCAGTGAATATAATTGCTGGTGAAAGTGTAGCCTGAAGCCTTGCAGGACAACTTCACTGAGGTCCCTGGTTTCTCCAGCTGAGACCCAGACTGCTGCAGCTGGACGTGAGAGTAGACACCTATGGAGAGTAAGGCAGGATAGGTGTCAATACCACCTGAGTGCATGGACCATCCTTTAGTCTGGAACTCAGAGCCCCTTACCTGTAACTGCTGACATCAGGAAGAGCATGATCCAGTTCCATCCCATGATGATGAATTATGTGCTCAGTGACTGTGGAGAGGACACTGATCATATGTTTGGTGGTGGTGGTATGGACATTCTTGTATTTACCAGCATAAACTCATTTGATTTGCATATTCATGGGCAGGGTACTGCTTACATAGGCGCCTAGTACAGCTATAGACGAAAGATGTAGGAGACATTAGTCAGGCAGAAGATTGCTGCCAAGCACTAATACTGCCTGGGGAAATGCATTTCATACTAATTCCCTAAGCCCTTTGAAGATATGTGAATGTAACATTAAAGCCTAAGTGCTCAATTCACTAATAGATTTCAGTCAGAGATAGTCACTCCTCTTGTTGACAAAATTGATTTACCCATGGTTGTTGTGATAATGATTTCAAAACCCCAAAATTATAGGAATTTTCCATCTTCTTTCATATACAAGAAACTATTGAATGCTTTTCAATCAAGGTGAATACTAAAAACTTTACCCAAATGCTCAAAAGTGAAAATGTTTTAGAAACATTTGCACACAAATGGTATTGCAGCATTATATATTATATAGAAAATATAGCTACCACATACTTGTCTTTAAACAAATGATTACATCAAAAACCATGGGATACAGTAGAATTTATTTGTCAATAAAGTATAGGAAAATGAATGTCATTGGTGATGATATTATTAAGTAAATTAAGACCATCTCAGAAACAGATATTGTATGAGTCTTATTTGTAGTCCTTAGATACTATATCATTGGAAACACACATACACACACACACACACAATCACACATACATACATATAAAATGACATAGAACAGAAGATATTTAGTAAATATAAGTTGGTAATGGGACTAATGGAAGTAAGAAAAGGGTACACAATAAACCTGTATGAAAATTCTAAACATATGAAATATTATTTTCTAATAATTTTTGTATGTTACTTGCAATTTTTATGCATGAATGCAATATATTTTTGATCATATCCTCCCACTGTTTATCATCCTTACTCCTCTCATGACCTCCAAAACAACAGGTCTCTTTCCCAATATACTGACTTCTTTTGTTTTCCTAATGAATAGCTCACTAAGTGTAATTAATGCTATCTATATAGATATGGTTAAGGCCATCCCCTAGCTCATAATAAATCTCCAAGTACCTAACCTCCTAAAAAAAGTGATTCTAAATTCCTAAGCAGTCTCCCAAACCCTACAGGGCTTGAACTTGGAATGTCCTTGGTGAGTCCCTCTCCCCTCTGTTTTATAATCTCTTAACATATATTTTAGTGGGGACAGGGCATACATATGCCAAGACATGTGTGAAACTTAGAAGAAAACTTATGGAGTCCTGTTCTCTTCTTACAAGACATATCTCCTAAAAATCAGACGAATATGGTTAATTTTGTCAAGAGGATCTTTCACCTGCTTAGCATTTTCTCAGTCTCTTATGCTGCAATTTTGACTGGTTTGATTTGTGCAGTTCTTATGATGTTAATTATGGCTCCTGAAAGTTCATTTGTGCAACTAGAATATGTCAGTCACTGTAGATAGAATGGAATGTCTTTCAACCTCTGTGCCTTACCTTCTTTCTTGTTCCTGTTTCCAGATAGTCTGTGATTTATGGGTGAGATGTTGATATCAAGGTTGTTTTAAGTGACTCCTCTGTAGTTCAGACTGTTATCAGCAATAATTTATTGGGTATAAACGTAAAATCAGTTCATGTTTGTAAATTTAACAGTTATAAAAGAGTGTTATTAAAATGTAGTTACTTGTAGTGAAAGTAAAAATATGTTTACACAGTAAGTAGAATGCATGTAACATGATTAAATGATCAGATTATATTGAATGAAATATACATTTTTAAAAATATAAATAAGTAAATAGAGTTGAAAACAAATATAAGATTCAGAAATGTTTAATAATCTCCTCTCTGTTTGAACATGAGACTGCACATATAAACACAGTAGTTCAGCTAATAGGCTTTTTAGAAGGAATCCACAGAGGTAACAGAGTCACCTCCTTGCTTCATCTCATTTCTATCCAGTAGATTATTGGCTCCATTGTGCCATCTGCTGGTCCTGAGCTCCCCTGCATGTAGGTTTCTCTTGGCTTATACTAACGTTTAACTGTCTCTCTTTAGCAGTAGCATATCCCTTAAACATCAGTGTTTATAGACTCAAATGCCGGGATAAATGGCTCTGGTTTTTATGCACTTAGTCACTGGAAGTTGTGCCTGTATTCTTATTACTGTCCTTCTGAATACCAGAAAAGAGGAGGGGGAGAGGAGGTCATGGGAGAGAAGGAAGGTTGAGCCAGGGTAAGAATAGAGGAGAAAACGATGGGAGATACCAGAAAAGAGAGCCAGTGTAAGTTGGAGGAGATATATGGCACTAGTGAGATCTTCACAGATCTACAAGAATGATCCCAACTGGCATTAAGGCTACCTTACAAGCCCTCCCATGATAATGAGAATAATGACTACCTAGAACTCTCATCCAATGGCTGACGGAGGCATAGGTAGACACCCACAGCTGTGAACCAAACTGAGCTCCTGGAACCCAATTGCGAAGAAGAGTTATGACTAAAATAATCAAGATCGGGTTGGCAAACCACCAGAGGTAGCTGACATAAACAAGGGGGAACACATGGATCCCAGACTGATGCCTTAGGGGCCAGCATGGGACCGATCCAGACATCCTTCCACTGAACCTGGGTGACAAAGAGGAGGCCTTGGAAATCTGTGGGAACTGGGAGAGTGGAGCAGTATTTATTCCAGGCATATAGAAGTACTCTGGGAAACCATACCATGTGGAGGGATGCTCTCTCAGCCTGGACACTTGAGGAAGAACCTGGGCCCTTCCCGAGATGATGTGACAGACCCTGAAAATCCCTCATGGAGGCCCTTGCTCTCCCTAGGGAGCAGAGGGGGTGTGGAGTAGGGGTGATGGGTTGGGAGGATTGGGAGGTAGGAGAGGAGAGGAGGGAGAGGGAACTGAAAGTGACATGCATAAAAAGTTAAAAAATATATGGAAAAAAGTAGCCATTTACAGGAAAAATAAATGTCAGGGCACTAAGGATATTTGTATGAAGGTGAATGCTCCCTATAAGCAATATCTTCTCAATAAAGTTGCTTTATGAGAAATGAAAAAATAAGAAAGTCACATTGTATGTATATTTTGGGTAATGTACCTAGAAAAGCAGATGGAACCTGCATGAATAATGGCTTCTTGTCTCTCTTAGGTCCTCTTCCTCAAATCTTTCTTCTTTTTCTACTAGGTGATCTTCAGTAGATGTTTCAAGCTTGGGCAATGAGCTGTGCCTCAATTGTTTTCAGTGTCTCCATAAACCTCAGGATTTACTTAGGGGTATTGGATTCAAATTATTGCTCAGCCCAACAGAATGAATGACATACAGCCTAAAAGATCAAGATCACTACCTTTCTCCAGTTAACATTGACTCTGCTTCTGCCTTGACAACTGCTTCCATTCCTATACTGGAAACAGCCTACATAACCCAAATTAATGTTGTTATCAAACAATATTGCTTCAACATTTCAAAGCAAAAAGGAAAGAGATAAATGCTTACACATGTTTTCTTATCCCATTTGTAATTGTTCCTGGGTCTCAGCCCATAGGAAGAATGTGGCTAACACTTAATGTGGGCCTTCCTAACTCAATAACTCTAGATCTACTCTCACAGGAACATTCAAGGACGAAGCTACTCTAAATCCTCCATTAAAGACATGACCAGATGATTATAGGTCCTAGAAATTTAGCAATCAATATAAACACATACCAGAGAGTTGAGAATTTGCCTTTACTTGTTGAACAAAGTTATGTCACAAATGTAAGAATGATCCAAGAGTTAGAAAATATATATGATAAAGTAAAATTGCTCAAGTCTGAGTCTGAGCCTAGTATGTACTTCAGAAAGAAAATGGGGCAGTTTAGGTTAGGATTCTTGAGTACAGGAACTTGATCCTGTCTTTCCCTTGGTTCCTCCTGAATCTCAAACACTACCCTACTTAGGAAATCCCATGGAAACTCTTCCAACAATCACACAGAAGAAATCTCTATGCCTTCCTGATTGGCAGATTTAATTCACTTTTGTTTCTGGTAGATCACTCACTCTGCATTGTTTTATTTATGAAATAAACTTATGTACTAACTCTACAGAAGAGTGAGAATGTTGATTTAAATGATTAAATATTGGAAAAACTCAGGACCTGGGTGATATAGATGCTAAACCCTTTTTAACTTTGTGCTAAAACTGGTCCGTAATCCTCAGAATGGACAATTAGTGACAACTCTACTTAGAGACAATGAAAAAGTGCCAACTGTAGGAAGAGTCTGAATATATGAGTTCTGCAATGGTATTGAAAGCAGGATTGCAGCAGATACATGTACCATAAAGACAGCCTTGATGATGTCATGTAGGACAATGACAAATAAGCTAATAGAAACTGAAATATCCTCTCTAGTGTTAGTGACAGATATTAGTCCAACTGTGTCTTTACTTAGGAAAATCTGGAAGGGAGCATATATCTTAGATGACTCTCCACATCTTCTGAGAATATATTTGAACAGTGACATTTAGAAAACTCCATTTTTACCTTATCATCAGTGCAGGAAATTGCAAAGAGAGGGATCAGTAGTGCAGTATGCAAGTGGCCAGAAATTGATGAAAACTCCCCAGCCAAGTTACACATGCTCATGCAAAAATCATAAATAAAATTGTTTTCACTACCCAAATGTTCTAATATGTTGAGTAATCGTAAATATATAACTGTTTGGAGGTGATTCAAGTATGTTTTATTTAAATTTGCTACATTGAAAAACTTTTCTAAATAAAATATTCTGATCATGCGTATTTCATCTGTCACCTAAACCAGATATTCCTCCCCCTTTCAATACAACTCTACAGCCTTTATTTCTCTCACTT